CCGTATCTAAATCTACTTCTATAACTCATTTCTTCATCAATTTTTTGCTTATGAGATCATTATGATTTACATTCAATGTTTTGCCCAATAATATCAACTTCTGCAAAAAAATAATAAACGGGCATAGGAATGATCACGTCATTGTAGATGAGGTGGTGATGTTCTCTCTATAGTAATCAAGCAACACTCTCTATCAAAACTAAGATGATTTAGGAGTTAACAGTCAAGATGGTATGATGAAATTTTTTCAACATTCAACTTAACATTAAATTTAAAATAAAAAAATAAGTTACGTTTTTTATTTTTATTTTCGTTTACTTCATCTATCATAAGCTTTAAAACTGCGAGAGAGGATATGACAATTATATTATAATAATGATTCAGTTTAATTTGTTGTAATGAGAAGAACACAACATTTGTACTCATCCCTAAACTGGTAGCCTCCGCAAAAGCGTGAATTCATTGTTGCCATAGTGAAGATACATAGATGTACTTTCTTCTTGTGCATTACTATTTTTCATATTGCTTGAATGGTAATTAGCGAGATGGATTTTTAATACAAACAAGTGATCATATGTGTTGATATCATCACACGTTTGAGTAGTGTAGCATCTTTTTGGCATTTCCAGCAACTAAACTACAAATGTCAGTCATTTGGTGCGATGTCTATTCATGATCGTTTTATGCGGTGTAACACAATTTCATGATCGTGAACTGGAATCAGTTTGACAATTTTTTGCCACGACTGAATCAGTTACTTTACAAACGGCGATCTTATGAGTTCACTAGGGCGGAAGTGGACAAACGAGGATCCAACCTTGCCATTCGGCTAGGTTGGAATTGGTTGAAATTCTGGAGTATCTTCTGAGATCTTTACTTTAACTCTTCTCAGAAGATACTACGTTTCAATAGCACCCTCGGGGTGCATGCACGTGAACTCAATGTTTGTGTAGAGAGAGGAATCGGTGTATTTGCAAATGTTCTGTCAGGTCCCTAGGTTTAATGAGGATTTCGGGCAAGATTCCACCTGATGAACATACGACTTACGCAGGGCAATCATTTTTCCTGCGGAGGTTTGCGGGGAATGTTTCTCCTGATTACCCATGGCGGAATGCCCGAAAGCGTCATGGCTGTAAATTTAAATAGGTGACTAGCACAGTAGAAGACTGAGTTGGAGTTCGATGAAACGAAATTGTGCAGTCCTCCTCGTTGTAGCATGCAACTCGAAGAAAAGAAATCTCCAAAGTGAGGATCAACCAAATGAGCTATGGTTGGTGAACAGAAGAAGCTGCGGATTCCCAACCATATCTCCTTTCTGGTTCCAAATCCCTAACCTTTGCGGATAGCCTTGAACGTATCTTCCCTAAACATCAGCGCAGGTGCTGTTTGCATCGAATCCGAGGATAGATAGTAGTCCGTTGTTTGTGGGCACTTTGCAAAGCTTCTGTTGAACCCCCCCAAATTGAGCTCCTCAGAGCATCATTTTCGTGAGGAGTGTAGTTCACACTACAAAACTGTTGGTAACGTCATGATTTTTGCATCGGGAAGGAGGCCTCGCTTGGATCTAAGGACGTTAACAGTTGTGACGTCGGGTACCTCTCTGAGAACAGAATGGTGTCGGTCAACGGACTGGTGAGAAGCAGAAGACATCACATCAGATAAGTTTACTAATGCCTCCACAACAGGCATCAACATTGCATCAGCGCACAGTGTACTCGATATCGATAGTGTGTGTGAGCGCGCGTGCATTTGCTCAGCAGAGGTTTTCTCATGCGACAAGTAGAAGAGAAGGTCCCCAGAATTTGAAGCCAGTGTACGGAGTATAAACTTTGACTACAACTTTCTTGATGATGTCCAGATTCTTTCTTCTATGACAATAAGGGCCATCCATTCTCTTCGTTTTCTTCATCTGGTCATGTTTTTTTGTTGATACAAATATGTCGCTTGGAGGAATTGCAGATAGCTGACTCATCATATCTTTAGCCTTCGTTTTTCTTCTGAATCTATCCATCCTTTCATATGACAAGTTGGTTCGAGGGGCAAAGGAGGAGCAATCTTACATAACAGTCATGTCGGGGTCGGTGTGATTGAGGAATAAATGTGTTTTGATGCATTGACTAATTGATGGATCGTGATAGAGTCATTTAGAATACCGTGTGCTGCATCCACAAAAAACTTATGTAACTATATACCAACATTGCTCATAAAACAATCTAATTCTTTCCGAGATTCACTTTTCAGCTTCTTTAAAATCATACTCTGAAGGCCTTTAACAAACGGAGTTTGGGAGTTTACGCTGACGTCATTGGACCACGAACTTCAGCGTATGTGATAAGAGATTCGGCATGGGGCATTTGTTGCTACTCTTGGCGCCTTACATATTTCTTTTGGATGTGGATACAAGATTATATTTACAATTCACTTAGTTGCTACAAGTGTAGGTATGACATGAGTTTGAAGAAGAGAAAAAAGTCAGTATGACATGAATTACTCTTTTTTCTAATCCTTCGATTATACTAAAGATTTACCGCCAACTTCGATTAACCAATAATATCAACAAGTCTTTAGTTTCATTCTTACTAGCACTAGTCATTCTTCATACTATAAGGTCTCGCTGTAGATCAAGCAAGGATGCAACCTTTTGTATTTGACCTAGACTATGCATGAAATCACCACGTGTGCTCACCATTTTATAACCTCTTGGCTTGATAAATTCATTCACATTTTCATTGCTCAAATGTGTGAATGTGATACCAATCTAATTGCATATAGTGTTCACAAGACTCCAACGTCATAGAAAAAGTGTAAAATAGCCACTCATGATGACATTGAGATGTTGAGAGAAGATATCAATGCTATCTCAAAGTTTAAGTTTAATATTGTATTGCAGTCAATTAGTCTAGACAGATCTATTCTTGGTTCATATTGACTTAATTATAGTTGCTACCTTTATGATCATTGAGACTACACATGACATAGTTCTGTAAGATGATTATACATCATCCTTGATGGACATGAAATATTTTCATAAGGTGATGATTCATTTTCGTAGATATACAACGAGTGTAGCAGCAACAATTTACACGGATATATAAGAGGTCAAACAGTATCTGCTTTAACATTGAAGTTATATCAAACTAAAGGTAAGGATTTTGACATACTTTCAGTACTTACAGTAACTAATTTTTTCCCTTTTGGTTTCATACTTCTAGATATTGATAGTTTTATACTCATATTTTTTGTTACTTTTTCCCATTTAGATTAAACATTTGTGATTTTTACAGAATTTTAAAAAGATCCAGTAATATAACAAAAATGATAAAAAATTCTATTTTTTTTTATTTAGATGGCCTCGTAACAATGTAGCCTGAAGCATGGAAAGATCTTGACGAAAGCTTGTTAAGTTGGTCTAATAGTAACATATCAAAGATTATGATAAAAAAGTCCCATCAAATCTTACAAGGATGAAACCAATAGCTTACGATTTGATTAACTCCAATAGTATCAGAACAGAATTATAGAATAATGCAAAATATCCAAACATCCCATTTCAAACGTTGAAAAAACAGTATACAAACTACGGAACTAGAGGATAAGGATGGAGCAAGTCCCACAGATATGCTAACTATTTACATATTTAATGGTTAAGATAAACGCATCGTCATCTGAAACATCACCTGACTTGATTGCCCCTTCTACTCATTGCACCAGTCGATGCTTTTTGCGAAACAATGAGTAACAATAAATTCCGTTCCTTTGACACATTCATTTACCTCCAAGAGACCTAATTAAGCAATCACATCAGAGGCTAACATTTTACTTCAAATCTGCACCCAGACCAGACGATAACCATCAGCAGCGACCTAACCCCCACCCATAGCATTACCAAAAATAATGTCACCCAAAACCCATGGGCATGGGTGGATTTGGGCATGGGCACCCAATGTTGGCCTCTGCATCACACATGACATGGTTGTCCTCACGAACCTTACAGCTCGAAAAGCGAATGGAAGAGTGGTAACATCAACAAACGCAACAAGATTCGCTGCTTGGAATTGGGGGAGAATTGGTTGGAAGTTAGAAGCAGAGGCCCAAGGCCGTGATTCTCGGACGCTTGACATGCGCACGAGGCGAGTGCTTTCTTGGTGGATGAATCGGTTACCTTCACAAGCGCCCATGCCTGCGGACAGAAAGTCACGGAAGCGATGGCGAGCCGGATGTCCGCCGTTAGCCACCGGGGACGAGTTGTTAGTGGGAAGGGGACCATGATGATGCCAAAGCGGCATCTGTTGCAAAAGGCAAGCCACAGCATCAGCTGTGGCGTGCTCTCAGACCCACCAGCATGTCTCTGTCATGATGGTCGTCCGGTCGAAGCCTGCTTTGACAGGTGCGCACTTTGATTGCGAAGCAAGAGTCGCTGGTAGCTCGTGCTGCTCTGCTGGCTGGCTCTCGAGTGGAAAACCTCGAGCGACTCCATCGACGTGTCGATATCCATTGTGAAAGTTTCCAGCCAGAACCTTGTTCAGAAATCATCAAAGTGCTGAATCTGAGAAATATACCTTTCTCGTGTCGAAGTGAAGGGTCGGAAGTTTGGCTCGTCTCGCGCCCCGGGCACTGGATGAACATATGGAGAGATGCAAAAGTTGCATGCCCACGCCGTTTCCCTTTTGGTGACCAGAGCATGATTCGAGACCATAACATACTTTGTGCGTATGTATCGTGCTTACTTTGTGTCCATTCGACTCTGCAGAAATCTTCTCTGGCACTTGATGAGCTCAATTGATGGTGTCCAGCGGAAGGAAAGGTGGTCGATCCTTGCGATCATCAAGGGGTAAGCACATGGGAGGCGCGAAGTAAGCATTGTAAACAAAGTGTAAAGAAAAAACACCGAGAAAGTATGGACCCATAAACAAATGCAGGACCAGACTTGTCTTCTTACTTGTGACAAAAATGAGAGCCCTCGAACCATTCATTTCTGGAAGAAATTACAAACAGGAGAAGGACAAGATTATGTCGAATCCTTCACAGAGGACTTCTTGATTAAATGTCTCCAAACAGCTGAAGAGAGTTTCCTTTTCTGAGGCTGGAGGAAGGATCAACATTGTTGCCATTACTGTAGTATGACTGATGGATATTTGCCATAAAGTTGAATCCATAAGAACAATTCACAGAGGTCAAAACATATCAGTGCAGAGAACCTTACTCTTTTGTAGTGTACCTACGAACAAATTGCTGGCAAGGTCTCCAACGTGCACTAGAATTGTAATTAGGTTGCATTGCATAGAGGTAGACATCTCCACGGCGGGAAGGCCGCGATACCGAAGGAAGTGAAACTGAAAGGACAGAGCTTCCATCTACTCTAGAAATAGAAGAGGTGTCAATTTTCCATCTACTCTTTCCACCGAATGCAAACACATGGATCTGCTCTGTTGAGCCGAGATTCAACGAATCAGAAACACACCATGCAAGGGCGATGACAGAAGTTCGTTCTAGATTCACAGAGATCCACAAAGAATTGTGATTGGTCGCGGACTTGCGGAGGAGGAGGAGGAGGACTATCGTTAGCTTCAATACCAGGTTTCGAAATAAGCAGACTTATGCTTATGCTCAAGGTCTGTCTCAGACTTGGGCCTTTCCAGAAGGCCTTTATCTCTAAGAATCTTATTCAACATGGCTTGATCTCGAATATAAGCACTGAGACGCCTCTTCACTCCTTCCACCATCTTTTGTCTTCGTTTCTGTATCGCATCCGGTGAATCACTTGCTCGCCTTTTTCCTTCTTTTCGGCTTAAAATGGTGCAGAAATTGCACTTTTTGACCTTCTTTACCAGGCTTGTATCCGAAGCCCGTCTCATCAGCCTAGGAACTGGTTCCTCACTCTCAAAAAAAACGTTCGGATCTCGTATGTGCTGAAATTGACCTTCTTGCGATCGTATGGGTTTCAAGAAGGTCATAGGTACACAACTTAGTTTCAAGGGAATCACGGCTCGTGCCCATGTGTCGATAGGAGGTAGATGCAATTCAGGAATCGGTACCCACTCATCGTGAGCTCGACCTTCGATATCATCCCAATTTACCATCCACTTTACTTCACTGTAGCAAAGCATTTGAACCATCTGCCCAAAACCCACACATTCTTCTTAAGAGAGAGAGAGAGAGAGAGAGAGAGAGAGATTCAGCCTGTGAGGCCAATGAACGTACACAGAAAGAAGAAGAAAGTAGTAAGAGCTGTTCGCATTTTAGCAGACAAAGTAGAAGAGGCATCATCTCGATGATCACAACTCAATTTGCTCCTGAGTCTCTAGACATCACTACCTGAATATAAATCACCATACTACAGCATGGTGATTTATATTCAGATAAGGGTGTGGCTCCTGCTAGTGAAATAGAATGTGATCGATAAGCAAATGACTATCTACGGACTACTGAAGGTTCTTCCCCATCTAATTCAGCAGCAGGACGATGGTTCCATGCTTCACAAAACTGTAGGGAGCCAGAGGTGGAGTAAGTCTGAAAACGTTAACCCGGCGCGTGGAAACTGCTAGCTCCCAACAAACATAAGGATGTACCTCGAGAGGATAAGTTTTACTACAAGAAGATTGAGACGATCAACAATGCTCGATCTACGAGGCAGTTTGGATATATGCAGGCAAGCCAAGAATGGTCATGGCTTACTTGAGCAACTGTTTTAGAAACGGCGTGAGCCACCACTTTTGGATATATGGCTAGGTCCTTGATGTGAATCTCCAGCCCTTCGAACAGACAGCTGAGGGCATCTTTCACGCACTCGTCTCGATAATTTGGATCGAAAGGATAGGAATCAGAAAATGTCACACTCTTTCTCTGTTTCCTTTGCTTCCCGTCTTTGTTTGGTGCATCCTTCTTGACATTCCCTTTGATCTCCTCCTTACCGTCCGCTTCTTTGTTCGCCTTATCTTTCTTGTCCTTTTTTTCCTTTTTTTCCTTCTTTTCCTTTTTTTCCTTCGATTTCTTCTCCTTCTTCCCTTTTTCTTTCCCACCACTACTCATAATGTTTTCTCGCTTGTCATCTCAGTTTCTGTACCTCAATTGATCAGTGTTCAAATCAGGGATCATTCTTCGCTTCGTTCAAAATTTACTGATGCACTGTCAAACTCTCTCGATAAACATCCCTGCAAGTCCGAGGTCTAGCACCAAGGACGGTGTAAACGTCCGACGATATTTGTATACAAGAGACGATGAAAGCAGGCAGTCGCTTGCTACTCCGCATAATTGACAGTCTTCTTCACAAGATTCGGTACTAAAACACCTATCTCCGGTGCCCATCAATTTGCATTCTAGATGCGACAGACCGACCTGCTACGCTCCGTCGCGATTATGAGGACCAGGGCGAGCCATAGCAAAACTGCCAAGTCCACACACTGTGTCTGTACTTCAATTCAAGCCGAGAACCCCATGTCCATACCTGGATGCGAACGACACAATCAAGTCAAAGACAATCCTGGGGAGTGAAGCTCAAATGACCAACAATTATGGCGTACTACTACCTACTTCTCTCGCTGTACTCATACTCAGGAATCCTGCATTATAACTTCATGATCCACCACAAGGTTCGTTACTTCGTAACACGCTGAGATAATTTGTTGTGGCCCGATGTCGTATGGAAGGTCACTGAGAAGCCCATATACCCACATTCAAACTAGCTGATTCTATCGAAGCCGGCCGGGATTCAGATAGTTCGGTGTAAACCCTAGAACTCCAAAATTCCGCAAAGCTTCCCGACTCACTGATTCATCGGAGATCAGACACGAAATCGCGTTTGGGCATTATTACTGGGCATCAATTTGACCATCCTCCACACCAAGTCCGATGCAAGCTTCATAGGTCTCGACTCCCAGATCCCCGTCACGTTCCGCGAACCCTGCACAGAAATGAATCGATTCAAGACCGTAATGTACAATGTACTCCAGTCGGATCGACTCCCGACACAATAATAAGGCGGAAAGAGAAATTTGCTGCTTGTGTTGAACGGCTGGAATCCCGTGGTCCCACCGACGCACCCACGCTCACCATTCCATGACATGCCGGGCCAAACTTGCGCGAGAAGGACGCGAGCACCGTGGGCAGAAGCGCAAGAAGACCCGGAGCTTCATTCAGAGTCGCGCGTGGCGTGGTGGATCAGGTGAAGCGAGTGTCGGAAGCATTACAGCACCGCACATCAGATGTAGAGTCCCGACGCTGCAATCAATCTCGGCGACCTGGGTGCAGGTTTTTTTCCTTCTTTCACGTCACAAGCCGCGTTCTGGAACCACCACCATGTCGGCCGCAACCACCTTTCCAAGCTGCGCTCGCTTTCTCGGCCCCTGGGCAGGCCACCAAATGTGCCAACAAATTCCGCCGCAGGGCACAAGATCCACGATCAAAGCGTGCCCCACTGTGCCCGCTGGCCGACAATCCGATCCGTTTCCTGATCCTCGCCGGGCTCCAAATCAGTTCGCTGCGTCAGTTTGACTGGCAGCGTGAGAATCTCCGAGCGCCGAAATTCCAGCATCCTTCGTAAGTTCCAAAGCTCGCCGACGAGGCTGTGCGCGTGACAGCATGGCACTTCAGACGAGCGCCATGTGGACAGATTCCAGGTGGAGATTCGAATAAGAGCACCTTCGGTACACCCCCTAACTGACGATCTGCTTCGGTTCTCACGCGCCTTCTACACCGTGATCTAGCAATGCCGATGTGGATGTGCCAATCGGCCAGGTAAGTGCCAGCATGTACAAGGAAGGACCTGTCAGCACCACCTGTCATCAGAGTCGCGTTGCGGCACGGCACAACTTGGCAACTGTCGCAGGCAGCTTTGCGAATTCTGTCCGCTTTTCGGACTGGATCGCGACGCGGATCCGATCGGGATTCGCAAGGTCTCAGACACAGCCGGATACAGCCGCAACTTGAGCTGACATGGCGCGTTTTGGGCTCGACGGCGGGAATTCTGTGTTCGTCTGTGGGCAGAGGTGGAGCCATTTGCATGCTCCGGCATCTGAATCGAGTTCGATGCCTTTCAAAGCGTATCGTCATTTTCCACGAATCAAGAGGACGCCATAAAATATTGGAGTACCATGCAGAATATATTTCTCTCGGGGTAACGACTTTGCAGCTTGGACGACTAATCAACTTGGATTCCAACCGTATGAAGAAAATTGTGTTTATTTACAATAGATTCTCATGTAGCTAGCAAGAGATATATAATAACTTGAGATATTTGTTTCGTAGAGATGGATACTATTAATGGGATTAAAAGTTACAATAGTACGAAGACAATAAAGGAGAGTATATAATTTCATCATTAAATGTTTTTTAGCGAGTTAGAGGAGAGGAGCGTACAAATTTTTCTGGAGCAACACGTCATAGATGTAAAAACATCCTGACTGAGAATGTATGTGATGGAGCACTCGGTGGGGAAAGTCAGTTGGGATAATTTCATTCCAGGCAACTTTCAGCATCTTCAATATTTCCATCCTTAACCGTAGAATTGCTACCAGCTCTTTGAATCCCCGTGTGGTCCAGCTTGTCTTCAAGGCTGGTTTCCTCGTAACTAAATTCAGTTGCTCTCTGACTTCCTTCTTTTCCATTTTCAAGTCTCGGTATATTTGTTTTGGTGCTTTGAAGCATCGGATCTCTGTTGAGCATGTAGTCACCTTCCATTCTTCTATTACTTTCATTCGAATAGAAATCTAATCTTCTGTAGGCACAGCCGCACAGAATCTTGGGGAGGATAAGAATCTGGACGAGATTCCTCATCCACCTATTGAAGAAGTTATTGGCTTGAGATTGATGAAGATCACTGCTGAACATGTGAAGAAATCGGAAGATATGCTACTCGCGGCGGCTTGCATCGTGCTACTTTTTGCTTTTTTTTTTGCTTTTCCATCGTTTGTGGATGGCTGCCCACGCTTGTCGAATATCCCCTTCCTTGTGCTCAGGAGGGAGATCTTTTGACTTCCTACCCCACGCACAAAAATTCTTTGGAGATCTTTCTCGAGGAAGCATACTATTGAGACCCTTGGCTACGCTGATGACCACCTATCATGAGATCTCTAGATTCTTTGTCTTTAATATAAAAATAATTTTTATTACTAAAGTAACAATAATCGATGCTATCCAACTGATAACTCTTTTGTGGAAATGATCACGTGTTTCCACGATTCTAATTTGGAAACAGGTTTCATGATTCGTCTGGAACAGAACATCATGAAACCACAATTCAGCCGAAAAACATGATATTTCTGATATTATGCGGGGAAAAAACGTTAGCGATAAAAAAATTTTATCCTGTCGAAAAACATAGCTCAATTATATCCACCTTCTCATGTGGCTTTTTATTACTATCACTTTATGAGAATGAATAAATTGAGATTCCTTTGGGTGGAATAAAGCCCAAAATGAGAATCTACTCAATAGCATCGTATTAATGATAGATTTGAGTATCAAGTACAGTACTTTATCTAGGCAGGAAGTAATCAAGAACCTATACCTTTTTTTTTCCTTAGAGAGTCTTACTTTATGCCCACTGCATCAAGTACTGTGAATTAGACATGGATGTAATTATCGTTGCCTGCCTATCACAGTCGACCCTTTTTGAAAATTTTGTTCTATTACATCATCATGTTCTCCAGACAATGCTCTTTATTGCGCAAGAAAATAAGAAGCCATCCCCGAAGGTGATATATTTGGTTACACATTTCTACGGTTCGATTGATTGAAAGAGAAGGCATGGTTTGACTATTATTCATGTACAATGTTATCCTATAATGACCAAATCACAGTACTGCAACGCGGAGCAACAGACTGTCAACTTATATGTTCGGCACCAATTGCTCAACTTCACAATCTTGTTACACGCATTTAAATTGGTATGAGAAGGAACCGACCACTTCCAAACCTTGACAGGATGCTAATGGATGCTGTTGTAGGTTGATGATGCACAACTTGCTACATTCAATTGACATGGCCAATGTCTTCGGCGGCAATCTACCAAAATTAATAGAGCGGCTGTGACCCTCTCTAGGACCAAGTAATAAAGAAGGAGAGAAAGGAAGGGTTTAGGGTTTAGGGTATTGCCAGGATGATGACGTGATTCGATTGTTGGGTTTGGGTTTTGCTTAGAGTCTAATATACCATCAGCATACGGTTTAATTAGATTGATAGTTGGCCGTTAATTTTTATTAAGTAAGGGATAGAAACAGTGAACAGTATATCGATAGACATAGCAAATATCTATACTCAGAGATGAGCTAACTGTTCCATGTAAACCATTTCAAGTATCGTATGGAGTTTCGACCAAGTCATAAAGACATAGCAAGTATTCGTACAGACAGGTGAAGAGATAACAAATCCCAACACAAATCGCGAATCAAAAAGCAAGATATTAACCCTTAAAATAATGAACTAAAACTGATCGAAACTTTTCAGATGTGAATATTTCCATTTACTTGGAACTGTCTGGTCAACAGGTGTATCAGCACCAGTGCAGGAGGTCCTCTAAAGCTTGTGAGCGAAAGGACCTAAAAAAAGTCGGCGCAGGCAACACAGTGACCTCTCCTAGACTCTTCTGCGGTAGGCTTACTGAGAACCTTCGTGACTCCTGGTACAGTTTACCGTTCTAGAGTACGACTCTTTGAGCATTCATAGCTCATCTGAAGTGAATTGTAGGCATTTGACTGTATAGAGTCCTCCGTCCATGAGTCTTTTGTTTGGTCTTTTCGAATAGCTCAATTACTTCCTTTTGACCAAAAGACTATAGATTGGAATATTCCTTACACCAGTTCACGATAAACACTGAAAGATATATCATAATAAAATGATATAAAATTATTTATTTATTTATCCAAAAAAAATTTGTGCTACAGACCTAGAGGCACTGATACATTTTGTCTCTGGTTTGAGAACTTGGGTTGAGTCGTATCTCATGTCTTCACCATTAATGACAGCCTATAGCGTCCAACATTCTTGGATGAAAAAAGAATGATTGCGCAAGCAAAAATGAATTTTATGCTGTCTTTGGCGGCCAACCTGTGGAAATATCGCTGGTACGAGTTTGCCATAGAAACTTCGCGAGTGTGACCATAAAACTTTACCATGCTCTGCACTTGAGAGTGTTATGCCCCACCATAAATTTCCACCTGTCTAATTCGAAACGCCTCGTTGTAGCACCCACTTCCAAGTATAGGTAAATGTGGGGTGAGGCGTCCAGAAATCTCCATGTCCAATGGAAAGGATCATGACAACCAAGGAACTCCACATCCTCAAAAGCCTGATCGAATGGAAAGGTCATGTGCATGAGTGTGCCACGTGGTGCGATGACTCGTCGCATGAGAACCCTGCAGTGTTGCGTGGAGTAGTGCACTGTGTGATATTTGTACGCCATTGAAGATTTTGTTATACACTGCAGAGGATTCGAAACGGCTGCAGATTGCTGAATCCAGTTTTGAGAGTTGTCGATGATCAAAGGACAGTTGACTCAAGCATGATGGGAATTGATTAATTTTTTTTATAATACCTCGTTTTCTAGACTTCCGTATCAGAACCAGAAGAGATGGTCGTGAGGGCAAGGACGCCCGGTCCGATACCTCATGATTGACTCACCAGGAATTACTCCTCTGACGAGGTTTGTTACCACGATCGCTGTACATGTGCAGTGGGGAGTGAGATGAATCGAGCTTTGATTCGGTCATGGTGCATTAGTTTGCTAGAAACCACGCCTATGCAGAGCTCCCATCTCGATAACACATCTACCGATTGAACGGGAATGAATACTCGAGTCCTGCAGGAGCTAAGACAGGTTGAGACTCCTTGAGGTTGAGACAATTGAACCATTTTCAATTGCTTCACAGCCAGATTGAAGGACTTGAAAGAAGATCTGTCAGCAGAGAAGTACAAATTGCCAATCGGCTGTTACTGCTTTGACTTTGACTCTGTCGTCCCTTGCGGTCCAGGCTCCAGAGCGAGACCACAGGCCCGGATGTGCGGGTGCATTTCAAAGCATCGACAAAGATGTCAAACCAAGTCCTTCTAGACGAACATTGTCGAACAAATTATGGCCAGGATCCGGAGACAATGATGTCACACGAAGAAGAAAAAGCCACAGATCACAACCTCCTCTGGTGCCGGCCATTACTAAGGTTTCACGCGGACAGGTTGCCCCAGGCTGAACGGGCGCACGAAGAGACTCCGTGAGCCGACCTTAGGGACGAATGAGCCATGGGTTCACGTCCCACATTGACCAGCTCAGAGTACAGGCAGAAATCACTTCGCAACAGCAGTCCTACGCGCTGCAAAGCTAGATCGAAACTTTCCTGCTGCATTGCACTAAAAACTTATGACAATCCCTTCAGAACCCATTCAGAATTGACCTGTAGATCTGCTCAAGTCGACCAATCGTGGATCGAGCATGTCAGAAAAGGATACAGCTCCGCTTGGACTGACTTGAGCCGGCGAAGGTTTCCAGCTCAATGCCTCAAATCACAATTCCTGACCTGAAATCGTGTCCTCTGCTGGTCCGAAAAGCGCGGATAGACATTTTGTTAGCTTGTGTCCCGATATGTCCAATTGGGTAATCACGCCTACACGCAGAGCTGTTGCTGTCGTTACAATGTGAACGCAATAAATATAAACATAGAAAAGAGGATTGCAAGATCCCATTCCAGTCCTGGAAGGATGAAACTGATGGGTCATATTACCATCTCAATATTTCTAGTGCATATAAATCTCATTATCATCAGCGTCATGTTCAGATTGATATTTTGTAGATTGAATTTGCAAGAGCTAATGATCAGAACCTGTGTTCGGTGTGCATATCAGTGTACAAGTGCTGTATCTTATATAGCACTGAATACAATAAATTGTAAATTTAGCTCTCTTGCAGTCTTTTGCACACATGAAGGCCAAAATAACAACGAGATGAAAATTTCAAAAAATTTATAAGTTTTGCATGTTATTGTTTCATTTTCTCCAGTGTTTTTTTTCATCGATCAAATAGGTTGCAGTCAAATTACATCAAGGAAATAGAGGTGAAATCTCTGCAATTATCTAATCCATCTAATTAATTTGTATATTCATCTCTAATTTAGATGTTTTATTATCCATTTAAAGAGACGGAGAATAAGAACTCTAAATTAATTCTATTTCATGTGAAGTAAATAAAACCACAACATTCATGAAAAGAAACTAGTCTTTTGTAACCAAGTACAGGTCTACATAAGTTATAAAGTGCTATTTCACTTCCGCAATTACTTGCCCATCCAAGACTATAAATAATCACGACTCCAAAAACCTTAATATGTCTTGAATCCTGAAATTAATGAGCACGAACGTAGTATAGATGTGCCTTCGGGTCCATTGCAGAGCACACCATCGACCAATTTTTGTGAACCAAGTAAAGATATGCCACGACCCACGTTGAACGCAAAGCAACTGTCTCATCCTCTCATGTCATAGAAAAGACCACGTCCTAGAACGACTTATTATCGTATATCCTCCTAGAGGACAATGAGTCCTATAGATTCTTCTGCATCAAAGGTAATAATCCAGGTTCATTAATGAAAAATGCATATAGATGTACCTAGGCAATTCAGATGAACTAGATGGCTTTATAGATACTCAAATCTATATCCACAATATTGCATCATTGCTGGAACAAGGATGTAATATGGCTTAGTGGTATGAGAGTTGAGAAGATCCACTGACTGCGTGAGAGAGAGAGAATAGAGAAAGAGTAAACAGTCTATTAAGGTTGAATTATTCATAAAATTTAAAGATACCCCGTCTACCCAATAACGCAGACCAGAAGTCTCCAGTCAAATGCATGGACAGCGGCCACGAGTACTCTTTTGTGACGTAATAGTGCACATGAGGAAAATGAACCTCTCCAAGAGTTCATCATACATCTCAAACGTGGGCTACACCCATTAAAAAAATGTGGAGTAAAGCAAAACTGACAAGAGTGACCGACTGCCCTTAAAGTAGGAGGAAGATCACTTTCAACCACGAGGTAAATGGCCATTTTCATCCAACCCTGCAGTAAAGCCAGTAGGAACCTTTTTTTCACTCGAGGCCAGGCCTGACCGAGCGGAAAGGGAATGGGTCCTTGACCACTGCTTTGCTGTGCGACATCTGGGACAGTTCTCGGGATAAATGCTGCAACCTGAACGTCGTGACTGTGTCCTTGTGGGCCCGTGACATGTTGTCTACGCGCTTCTGCTTGCATATCGTGGCCCTGTCAATTTTGCCGAAGGTTTCCGAGAACATGGAGCCTCAGAATATCGGTTGCTTTGGTGCTGGTCAAATCGTAGTGATTGCTGGCACTCTCCTACGCGGAGTAACCCCTTTTATATAAATTCTTCCGCAGCATATTGTGTCACAATCAGACCAAGCAGCAGCCGCCGCTCAGTGCAACTCTAAGCCAAGTGGACATCTACCTGTTGCCCCTGGTGTGACGCTGTATAAGAAGAAACCAGCTGCACATATCCTTCTCACTGTCCAAGATCAGAGAATTCTTCTGCCTGAATTGCAGCTTCTAGCTGCCGCAGCGAATCTATCAGTCTTTGGGATTCAGTGAGCTTTCTTTCATCCATGAGAATCATGCATATGACTCGGAGACCCAAGCTGCCTCCCGTATGGCACAAGGTAGTGACTGGGATCCAATTACACATTTAAAGAATTCAGTTCTGAAATTGCTCACTCTGCAGCAGTAGTGGTGTGTGTGTGGGTGTTTGTGTGTTTAGCTGAAGTTGCCTGCGTATTTCTAATGCTACGGTGTCGGGCAGAATTTGACATTTCTTTTTCCTGATCTGCAGAGATTTAAGCTTAGAGTTGCAGCAGTGGGTTGGGTTTAGCTTACATTGCCTGCGGATTTCTAAAGCTGCGGTGTCGCCAATACTGAAGAACTCTTGTTTTGATCTGCAGAAAATTGAGCTTAAAGTACCACTGTGCTGTGAGTATTGCGAAGAAAATGTCAGAGGCGAGCTCACCATATTGGAAGGTGAATATCAAATTGACAGTTCCTGACAGATTCCAAATTGCAAATCTCTATTTCTATGTAATTTTCTTCAAATGCATGGCCAATTTCTCAGTTAGGAGCTATCTATTAACTATTTCTTGCCTTACTTTTGCAGGCGTGAAAGAAATCATGTTTGATACAAGCACCCAAAAGGTAGTCGTCATCGGTCACTTGGATGTGCAATTAGAACCTTCTATGGTTTTGAATGCGGTGAAGAAGGTTAAAAACCGAGCAGAGCTATGGAAACCAAGCAAAAATTCGTGATGCGAAGCTGTTGTGCGACTGTACACGTTGTTACCTTTTTGGTGTTTCTTCAGATTAGTTAGTGAGCAAAATGAAATCCCAAGTTCATCAAGATACTCGGTGTACGAACAGTGAGTATGATAAATTTTTACGGAAGTGCAGACTTAGAGATTAGACAGTTCGGGTTCATCAGAGTCCTGGCAGATTTCAATTATGAACCCAGAGTATACGAGATACACATTGTACAGAGTTTAGAATCCGTTATTTGAGAAGAGCTTTTTGCATTACTTGCGTGCCTCTTGTCACGAAGAGATACGTCCATATCCATAAGGTGGGGCTGTCGATGTTCTCCACCATTCGTAATTCCTTTTCAATTTGAGACTCCTGGAACTCAGACCAGAACTTCCAAATGAGTGGAATTGTTAGCACTTTGCTGAGTCGCAAGCGGACTTTGTCGACATTGAATTCAGCCAGACCGAGAGTCATGGCGTCTGTACAGCTTCTAGATCAACTGGCAGTATACTAGACTGATGTAGCATGATATTTTGCAAGAACGAGAAGCATGAGACTAGTATTTTTTTGACAAGGACTCCCAGAATTGTGGAATTTGGAGAATTTTGCTGAGTTACAAGCTAGTTCCACCGACATTGAATTCAATCAGAGCAAAGTCATTGCATGTGTTCTGCTGCTGGATCCAGTCTATTCGACTGATGTTAGTTTGCAAGCAACGACAAAACCGAGCATGTGATTCCTGTGAATTATTCTTCAAATGAAGAAGCATTTGTCATCTATATATGACTGAATGACGCCAAAGACTGAAGCATAGATTGAATCTATGCTACTAATTGTGGATCTAAACAGGGTTGTGATATTCAAGGGGATAATTCAATTCTTACGACTGATTCAAAATATCGTCGATCTAGACATTGTGAATGATTGAAATGAATAATTCGATTCCACATTTTAAATAGAGCACATCATTGACTTTTTACCGAGGTAATGTATTGTAATATTGTGGATCTAAATTGAAAACGTAATTCAAATAAATAAGTTAAATATAAAAATTGAAATATACAATATAGATATAATCAAGAGTGTATAAATTACATATAGTGGACAAACTGCTACACCTAACTTCAACCGTAAATTGAGATCCCAGTATCTACTTCATTCCATTACTTTAATCTAATTTCACTCATGTTCATAATCACCGGTACTCTTCTCAGATAAAAGACTGTCACAATGAATATGAAATAGTCACCATCTCAAGATGACATCAAACCTTACAAAGAAGATAACAACAATGAAACAAGTTGATAGACTTTAACAATCCACTTATACCATCAGTCTTCTTCTATGTACAACAATTCAAATATTAATATCTCCATATGTCTCTAAAGTAAAATTTGGTTTTAAACAAATAACTATTCGTGAAAACAATAACATTTAAAATCTCACACTACAATCCCAGTATTCGGTTCAAATTTATCATCTTCATCCAAAGATTTGTGTCCATTTTTTGAATTTTCAAGAGTGTATGATGTATCAATCAGATTGGTGAAGTAATGCAATGATATCTTTTTATGCTACTTGATTAGTCTACAACAATTAGCCAGTATTGCATCATAATAAGATGTGATGTGAGTGCTTCAAGTTCAAATGTAGACATGGTAATGTATAACTCAATTCATCATGTCCAAGAGATATATTAAACGAAGAAGTTTTACTCAATGATGATCTGGAGTACAAGACTTCTCTCTTCTAGATGATCCCCTTTGTATGGCATCATTTTAAAGAGAGAAAGGTAGAAGTTCCAATATCATTTTCCATATAACACCTAAAATGTCATGATAACAACAAAACCATAGTTAGATAAATGATACGATTGATGTTGAAGATTAAAAGGAATGAATTATTAGAAATTAAAACAAATTGCTAGGCTAATATGTTTCAAATTTTAATTAATTTTTTTTGGAAAGCTAAATGATGATGCAGTTTCAAGTTGGATAATTTAAAGTTCAAAAAAATCACTTTCATAAAATGTATTTCTCTTTAAATAAATCGTTTTGAACCCACGTTGCAAGATCAAATGCCAACAAAATATGAGTTAACAAGTTTTGAAAACAGTACATTGCTGAAATTTACACAACAGTTTATTTCGTTGACGTTACAAACTTAGAAGACCGGTTGCATGCCTTGCAAAATGACAATATGGGTTTTATTACCATGTCATTCAACAAATTTTGTGATTTACTCTTTCGTGCTTTAGGTACAATTTTTTTCTTTCTCAAAATGAGTAGCAATTCTACGTACATGATCTTTAGTATTTCGCTAACGGAACTTTTGGACTTCTTTCTCCACACGCAATCAACAAGAGAAATAACAACTTACTCCTCTCGGACAAAGAGATAAGAGAGCTTATAGATTCGCCATTATGCATGTTGACGAGATAGCGAGGAGCATTGTGAGCCATGTCAGTAGCTGCAGAACTGGATTGGTCATCTTAACACAGTAGTTTAGTGCCGTATCCTCAAGTGTCTGAAAGTTGCGGCTGGAAGTATAAACATATCCAAGAGCTCGTGAGTGTTAATCCCGGGGTTAACAATATAGTTTGTTTCTGTGCAGATGCATCGATGTCCTACTCAACGCCGCAAGCTTATGGCTCTACACTTCACTAGAGTGAATGGTTGACTCGTATATTACTCACTACATGACAAATGATCTGACATTGTCTTCGTCGCACTAAGAGGCAGCTGTGCTCTGCAGCTGTCTTAGCAAAGATTCAAGAAAGACCATGCAAAAATTTACCTCCTTGAATGGGCAATATGTCCTTCTCTCTGAAATTGTGTGGTTGGGTAATAATATGCATGTTATGCCTTCGTTTGTCATCTTTTCTTTGAACTGAAGTCAAGCTCTGATGACTTTTTCCCTCCTTGAATGACTTTAAATTTCGAATCCAATTTTTGGGCCAACTCCAACCGACAGAGAAAATATTAAGCGTTTGCGAACATAATATATAAAGTATATGGTTGTCGTTCTGATATAGGGCAGAATGTCGACATAGGGGCATGACACACGAATGGAAACCTTTTATCATTTGTCATGCACATGAGAATCTGATTGTCGGTGCGGTATGAGAGCTGTTCGAAAGACTGACAAATAGCAGCGCACGCTCAGGACCACTAAAACTTAGAGTCGGTGCCTCTCGAGAGCAGTTTTGACCTTTGGATTGTCGGTCGGCAGGCAAAGGAGGCGCCAGGAGAGAAGAAGCTCTCATTTCATTAGAAAGCGCGTGAAGAATGCACTGCATCAATGACGGCTCGATAACTTTGTCTGGGAATTGAACATGACAGTCTTATTTTGGCAAGGGCTTATTACTTCCCCGGCGATCCTCTAAGTCGTTCTGTAATTACAGCTCCTGGACCGAACTTGACGACGAAGTATGTCCAGCATATATATGCTTCTCGCTCAAGCTAGTCCGCATCAGCTGTACACAATCGACCAGTGGCTTCCATAGACTTGATCGACCTTCAGATTGAAGGCATACGAACTACGGTGAATTTCGCCGAATCCACCAGCCATCCTGCAATACACATGCAGTCAAGCCGAGCCTGCAGAACATCCATGGCCGAACGTTCGTTCATCTGGTGCGATGGCGTCATGTCGAGTACGTACGGTGCAAAGTAACAGCCTGCCTTCGGGCGGAGTCACAGATGTCATATGGAAGGGCTTTCTGTGGCCTCGTCAAGGACCCAATGTCGAAGAACCGGACCCAGTGCATTCATTCATACTCCACGCATACAGACTCGAGGGTGAGAAACTTCGATTCACGATCCAGAGCTCGCTCTTGCAACGATTTCCAGATCCACTGGCCCCGCTCGAGGGGCCATCCATCTAGTGGGCACTTCGGCATTCAAGCGAGCTGATTCATTACCCAACTGCTTCGGGTGGGTAAAGTAGGCCGCCTTCTTCATGAGCAGGCCGGTGATTTTCCAATTGGCCACGGAGCTTCATGTCGTGGAGCGCGTGTAGTATTTTTGCCCCTGGCTGACCATCAACATGGCTGAACCAGATTCACGCTGTACGCTCAACGAATTCGTCGAAACTGTACTCGCGTACACTTGTCCTCTGTACTATGACAATCTGATCGTCTAGAGTCTGGACTTTACAGGCACACAAGCGCAGCCTAATGTTACATTGCGCACTTTTCACTCGACTTACTGTATGTCATGCCCAAGACTCAGATCCTGGCCGACAGAAGATTTGCCTTCGGAAGATTTGCCAGCGCCACAATTTCTCTGATCTACGTTGACGAGTATGGAAGGGATGACACTGCTTTAGAAAAGTAGTTGCTGCTTATCAGAGGATGGGGATTGTCCAGCACGGATCTATCGCTGCCACTCGTGCATGTTTCACGGAACGAGAAGGCTCCAGCGGTCCATTCACAAACTCACACAGACCTCGGCTCTAACTGCCAACTGCCTTGGGTATTTACTATGCAGCCAGCTTGGGCATCGCCCTGCAGCAGAAATCAACCCATGAGCAGTAACAAATTTGTCCGGAGAGGCTAGTCACCTTCTGCGGGAATTCGCTGATTCGGATCGATCTGCTATGACTAGAGCGGGATTGCATGTACATCACCGCTAGCTGCTACCCCGATTCAAGCAGCAAACTTGATATACTCGCCTTCTTGTGATTCTGAAAGCTCCGCTCACGTTGTAATGGAATATCGGCGAGAGAGAGTATGTCCGGGTCCAAATTACTATACTACTATGTCGAGACAGAAGACCGAAATACGAATAAAGAAATAATGAAAATGATAATATATATATATATATATATACATGAAAGAGAGAGGGAGTAGGGAACATATGCAAGGACGAGAAGAGCATCTTCAGACCGAATTAGGTTGTGCGCACGAGTCCTCGTGCTGTGCCTATCTTGAGGAGTTCAACCGTTCTCGGTTGGTTTCTGCATGATTCTAGAGCTCATGCGAGCATGCATGTATGTCTCGTAAAGGACTGGGCTAAACGCTTACTGTCTTCTCACAAAGGAGCGTATTCATCGAAACCATTCTTCATACTTCGCTTGACAGGTCTGGATATTTTCACACTTCCTCTCGCTCCAATTCCCTTTCAGCACGCAAACTTGGAGACTCATTTGCTCACCCAAGCTCCGCATGAGAAATGAATAGAACGTATGTTGCCCGTATCATCGTCCTAGAATGCGATTTGGATCCTCAACAGTGCTCGAGCTGATCACTTTGGTATCGTAACCAAGAACGAGCCGAATATACTCAGAGCAAGGATAATGTAGATCATCGAGATAAAAATTACGATAAGGATCTAGGCCTTGGGAAGCATCGACCATGATGATGTTTAAAGGTTTCAAGAGTAAGGGTGGAGTGGTTGAGATAAAAGTAGCGAATGTGGAGGTGTCAGATTCTATCACAGAGTCAGATTGTCATATCGACCCCGAGACAGTGCTGAAAGAGGATATTGTGAACGATGCAAACTGCAAACATCACCCCGAAGATCCAGCAGGAGCAGCAAATGAACAAAAGGACTCGTCGTTTGAGGAAACTTTCGACGATCAATCTCCAGTGGAGGAGGTGGCCCTTACGGTGCCCACGACGGACGACCCCTCGCTTCCGGTCTGGACCATCCGGGTGTGGGTGATTGGCATTGTGTCGAGCCTTGTGCTCACGTTCATCAACACCTTCTTTGGTTACCATACAGAGCCATTGTCGGTGACATCGGTGGCGGCACAGATCGCTGCTTTGCCAGTCGGAAGATTCATGGCAAACGTGCTCCCTCACAAGCGCGTTTCCATACCCTTCACTGACTGGAGTTTCAGCCTAAACCCGGGTCCGTTCAACGTCAAGGAGCATGTCCTCATTACAATCTTCGCCAATGCAGGTGGTGGCGATGCATATGCCATCTATATCGTCAATGCCATCAAAGCTTTTTACCACCGAACCTTAGACTTCGTTCCGGCTCTGCTCCTCGTCCTAACGACACAGGTACTTCGTACAGTCCAACACAGTCAGATCGACCCGTACACGACTACCATCAAACCTCGTTCCCGCAGTCCATGAAATCGCTGTCTCTCTCCTTCTTTCTCTTCTAACATTGGGATTTCAGAGGCAGTTCGTTCTTGTGTCTTGGAGTGTTCAATGGGCTGCTAAACTGTCTCAAAGCATATACATCTCTAAGCATTTGAAACCGCTATGTTGAACAATTGGCTCTGACTGAATGCTGCTTCCAAATGGAAATGTGGTACAGCTGCTGGGTTATGGGTGGGCTGGGTTGATGAGGAGATATTTAGTGGAACCTGCACACATGTGGTGGCCCTCCAACTTGGTGCAAGTTTCTCTTTTTCAGTGAGTATGGTCGCCTCATTGTATTCACTGTTTGTCCATCACCTGCTTGCAGTTTGGTCCAAACTATTGTTTGCATGTGTATTCGATCTTGTGGTGGATAATACTGCATATATAAACAATGGCATACTTGAAAGATGAACTCTGGTGGACATCTCATGTATGCTAGAGCAACCTCCGTAGACCAACTGTTCAAACATCCATATCAGAAAAAGTACTGACAGTGCTGACACCTGAGCTCAGGGCCGTCGTCTTTTAATATTTTGTTGATGTATGTTCTCTTCGTAGCCCAGATTTTTATGCACATTAGCAAATAGCCTCTACTATTTGCTAGTGAAGACGTTGGTCATAGTTGCTCTTCATCCAGTTTGACAAGTAAGTCAATAAATTAATCCTCAAAATTACAACTGCGTCAGACGAACTGCATGTCGACGTAGCACTGTCTCGACGATGTAACTTGCTGCAAATGCATGCACAGGACTCTTCATGAAACGGAGGAGACTCGATTGGACACTCGAGGCTTATCGCGTAACAGGTTTTTCCTGATCACATTGACAACGGCTTTCGTATATTACAGCTTCCCAAGCTATCTGGTCCCCATCCTGACCTCGTTTTCAGTTTTGTGCCTGGTTTTTCCAAAGTCAATTACTGCCCAACAAATCGGCTCTGGGCAAAAAGGTCTCGGGATCGGTGCCTTCAGCTTCGATTGGGCCTCGACCACGGCGTTTCTGGGCAGCCCATTGGCAACGCCATGGTATACTCTGGCCAACATTTCACTGGGTTTCGGACTTTATCTCTACATTCTCATCCCGCTGCTGTACTGGAGAAATGTCTACAACGCCAGGACATTCCCCCTCTTCTCCAGCAACCTGTTCAGACTTGATGGCAGGAGATACGACACCAATCGCATCATCACATCAGACTTCCGTTTGGACTTGAAGGCCTATGAAGAATACGGTCCTATGCACATGAGCATCACCTTTGCCATGACCTATGCGTTGAGCTTCGCCACCATCTCTTCAGCTTTCACTCATGTTGCTCTCTTCCATGGAAGGTATCACAATTTATACTACGATCACAAACCACATTAAATTAGTACTCTGAACACCGAACCCTGGTCGTATGGATTGGACCAGATTATTCCCAAAATTCACTTTCTCCATAGCCAAGAATGTCGGTAAGGGGCCGGGTGAATATTTCTGCTGGTCTATGCACTATTCTGAACGAAATTCCTTCAAGTTTTGTGGCATGAGAGGCATTTGAGCATGACATGTAATCATGGATTTCGCTATCCAGGGACGTGTGGCGCCGGAGTCGAGCTGCCCTGAAGAATCAGGACAAAGTAGATGTGCACACTCGTCTCATGAGTCGATATCCGCAAGTCCCTGAGAAATGGTTCCAGGCGTTGCTGCTCTGCACTGTCCTGGTAGCCATCTTCACTGTCATTGTTTACAAGGATCAACTCCAGTTGCCATGGTGGGGCGTTCTTCTTGCGGCAGTGCTTGCAGCAGTGCTCACTCTTCCCATCGGCATCCTCGTTGCTACTACCAACACTGTAAGATACCCCTTTACCTTCACGCACAAACTTGATTGGCTCGGAGTCCGTGCATCGATCGATTGGCGACGATGCTTGACAGAGCGCAAGAGTGCTTCAGGCATGATTCCAAGTTCGTGTGGGAAGTGAAGAGGACGAAAACTGATTCCACAGTTTTGCTATTTTAGGGACCGGGTCTGAATGTGATCTCTGAGTATATCATGGGTTACCTGCTTCCTGGCCAGCCCATAGCCAATGTTACCTTCAAAACGTACAGCACCATTGCAAATGGCCAGGCTCTGAACTTTTTGTCGGACTTCAAGTTGGGCCACTACATGAAGATTCCTCCTCGTCCCATGTTCATCGCCCAGGTGCGTGTTTCACCATGACACGTCTCATAAGCATTTCCAAGCAAGAGGTACTCTCGAATCCAATGTTCTATGTGCCTCCGTGAAGATGTTTAAATAATCTACCCTCTAAAACTCCGGAGGTAATTTTCTGCATAAAGTACCAAACTGAATAATCGGAAATGTTTGATATAATTTGATTGTGATGGGTCCGTTTGTATTAAGTAGACTGAGTCTCAGAACCTTTTGGCTCTTCTGAAATATCGTCAGACCCTGACTGATAGCCGATTTCGAGTCGCTTTTGCTTTGAAGCTGGATAATTTCGAGGCTCTCATTTAGAACAAGGTGCGCCTAAGCCAGGAACTGTGCATGGAAATTTGTCATCAGCAGCAGCAGCTGTGCTCTGCAGGTACAAGACGACATAAAGAAGCTGCACAGACAGACAGATTGTTTATACGTTTCTCTTTATTTGTTCAAGTGTTGCAACTATGAAGATGGTGAACCGTGGGCTGCATGCAGATAGTTGGGACGATTATTTCAGGTTTGGTGAACGTCATGGTCGCCTGGTGGTTACTGCGAACCGTGAAGAACTTGTGCGACACCGATAAGCTGGCAGCAGACAGCGTGTGGACGTGCCCAAACGACCGCGTGTTCTACGATGCATCTGTAATCTGGGGCCTCGTGGGGCCGCAGAGGATCTTTGGACCTCTGGGAGCATACAAAGCCCTGAACTGGGCATTTTTCATTGGATTTCTGCTGCCATTTCCGGTGTGGCTGGCCTCCAAGAAATTCCCCAAAAGGAAGTGGATTCGCCTCATTACCATCCCAGTCATTCTGTCGGGAGGAGGTGGAATTCCGCCAGCTGCCGCGGTGAACAACACAGCTTGGATTGCCGTGGGCACCTTCTTCAACTTCTACATGTTCAAGTTCAAGAAGGGCTGGTGGAAGAAGTACAATTACATCCTCTCTGCTGCGCTGGACGCAGGGACCGCCTTCTTCGGCGTTTTCATGTACTTCTGTCTCAACTATGGCAACATCAACCTGCAATGGTGGGCCAGCGATGGCGAGCACTGTCCTCTAGCTACGTGTCCCACTTCTCCTGACGTGGTGTACCACGCTTGCCACCCGGTTCAGTCTAGTTAGCACTCCGTGTTACCAGCTCGAGTTCTCACTCAAGTTTTGCTCGATTTCAGCTGATGCCGACCAGTTTCATAGACAATCAAGTGGCTTTGACTTGAGTTTCCGACTCATCAGATTTGCCTTCCTCCCAGCCTCAGCTTGTGCTTTACACAGATTAGTGGCTCAATGTTCTTCGGAGCTTCTGCTGGTCAACCCTGCAGTGTAGTCGACTAACGCTGTTAGGCAAGAAACCTCCACATGTCTGATCACCAAGTTTCTCTAATCAAAGCAGTTCTTTTATTGTTCGATCACTGGCCTCTTTGCATGTCGCCCATTGGGTGTCACCTTGTCATCACGATACTCAGTGCGAGGTTCAGTGTAGGCTTTGCTCTGCAAATTGCTCGGACCTTGATGATTGGAATTTGTAGCAAGAGCTTCGCAGTCCATTGTATGTCCACTTCCTTGTTCTTGTGACCATCTTTAAGTATGTTGAGGTGGTTTCATTGTTCGCCCATCCATCGATCTTTGAAAGATCGATGGATGGGTGGGCGAACAATGAAACCACCTCAACATCTGGAATCACAAATCTTATAACATTCACTCGGGCTTCACATCCCAACTCTGGTCGCCTAGAGACACCTAGAGGAAACTTCGGGGCACGAGAACTATGCCGATTGCTGTGATCGACCATAACAGAGCCGGGTTTCGAATTCGTGATACAGGAGTGGGTTGTGGCCCGTCAATCTCTTCGTCGTCCTGTTCACATCTTCGAAGTTCACTCGGGCTTCATATCTTTCCTGTGTGCAGAGGGGCACTGAAATCCTTGTATCGTCATGCTTTTCCATTTTGTTCCGAGTGTCGAAAGTTGGCCAAATCTTGGCACTGCCACTCACTCTGCGACGCTTTCCGACCCGATCTGGTTGTGGGGAAGGTGACGAACAAGAGGATCGATGGTGTCCAGATGAGAAAAGTCAATACGTACAAAAAACTTAGCCTTGCAATGAATGTGGCACGAACCCCTTCCCACCAGACCAGAACATAAAAGCCGCGTTCCCACAAGAGACCGATCCGAGAAACCATCGAGCATTTGACGAACTGAGACCGTCCGGCAGAACCTCCAGTTGAAGAGCGGCGTTCTCAGAAGCTACCGAGTCCGAGTCCGAGTCCTGTGAACTCCATTCCATCCCTGCCCGTGTGACAGAAGAAGATCGTCTCCCCCTCCCTGCGCGTGTGCAGAACTCGGGGAAGAGCCCCTCTCTCAGACACAGCCCGATCCTAATCGCGATCCCTGCAGATCTGCGTAGGCACGATCGATTGCATCGCAATCGCTTTCTTAGATGGAAAGATTATCTGTGCAGGAAAGGAAGAGAGAGGCCCATCATGTGCACATTTGAGACGCAGAATGCAGCGTAGGAATCGCGGACAATCTCCAGGGGCCTCTCTATAGTCTCCACAGGAAGTGTCGAGTACAGACTCCATAAATATCTGGACCGCACATTTGCTTCCAACCGAAGCATCGAGATTCAATTTGACAGAAAGCGCAAATGTTGGAGATCTGCCATCGACCTGAAGGAGCCGGAGAATCCTGAGAGTGCGTGCCTGGATCGGACGAGCGATCGAATCTGCTCTCCGGCTTATCGTCGGAAACGACGAGCGGGCGGGCACACAAGAACCGCAGAGGAGATCAGGGACGAAGGGCGAAAGGACATTTAGAGACGAAGGAGACGGGCTAGGAAAGAAATCTTTGCGTTCTTGGTGCTGAGCACCATCTTTGAGTGCATGGACGGTCGGGCCGGGCTCCAGGGAGGGATTCTAGTGTCCATGATTTGCTGATATTGCTGGTGGTAGTTACGATCCAAGCAAGCATTAGTAGACTCTGGGCTACTACTTCGTGGTCGTCAGAGCAAACCCTCAAGCGCCTTACCCTAGGGATGCAGAATGTCAGTGAGGCAGAGTCGAGACTCGAGTGACATGGTGCTTTGGGAGTGTTGAGCTGCATCCTGAGGGAATTCAGAGCTGATCGAAGCCATGGACATGATCGTCCTGACAATCTGTACTTCCGAACGAGCATAACGAGAGCTGCTCCCTCGATATGGCAAATTTGGTCGTGGCCCACCCTCCCTGGCTCATAGATCAATGGTGCAATGCAAGAGTCAATGAATCGACATTTGTCGAGCACGAAGTAGAATGCAGGATCCGCATTATTTCAGTCATCAATTAGGATTCAACTGGCTTTCGCTTTGAGGCCGTTGCCCATTCCTGATTGAAACATCGATCCCTTTACCAATCAGATGAAGTCGGCTCTCATGACCACCATGTGCTGCCAGAATGACAAAAGCGTGATATCGAGACCTGTGTAATGAAAACTTGTAGCCTCATATCTCAATCTAGTGAAATCCATCAGAGCTCTGCATTTTTCAAACAATCACTCCCCAAAAGCTGCTCAGATTCCAACAAGTTTCCTACGGGAGTGATCGGAGGAAAGTGAGTTATGGAGAAGCTTATGGGGCATGAGAGTAAACATTGCTGTCGATAGAGACCAGATATCTTTGCAACGCAGGGTTCAGGGTTTGAACGGAGCAGAGCCTAGTCTGGCGATGGTTTGAGCCTGCCTCAACGTGACGGAGCCACAGAGCCTGGTGCTGTGGCCAGCTTGGCAGTAGTATGAGAGACAAGAGCGGGAGAAGACGCTAGGGAGGAGCAATGGGCCACTGCAGAGTTAAGGTTCACTTGAGACTGAGGCCGTCGTGCAGGCCATCGACGGCAATTCACGTCGATCATGCAGCTCATACGATCCGCATCGATGTTCTAAAGCAACACGGCGGTGGTCCTCCCAAGCCTTACAATGATCAAATGGTGTTTCCTTTCGACAGCATCATCCAAGTAACAGCTCTGGCCTGCCTTCTTTTTCTCAGTCGATCGGAACGATCGATTCCAGTAGAAGGTTTGCCGATTGCATGATCTTGTACACTCCAAGCTGTTTTGTTCAATCACAAGACCCCATTAAACGGGGCATATAATTTTGTCCCATCGCAAGTTGTTTAATTCGTAAATACTGGACTCACATTTGACAGCCGACCGTCTTGAAATTGAACTCCTTGTTTTGTTTGGTGTGGTCGGTTCTTGGACAAGTAGTAAGATCCGTGTCCACAAACTGATCGACTCATTTTGCTTTCATTGCAACCTATGCTTGGTCGTCTGATATCGCCATGTAGACCGTCTCAAGTAACTAAAGGTAACTCAAGTCTCAGTTCCTGAGGTGTCTCTCTGTCTGATCTCTATGCAGAGCTCTTGTCAGGAGGCTGTATTTGAGCAGTGCGCCAGGCAGGTGGTAGAGGATGTGCTGGGCGGCTACAATGGAACCATTCTGACCTACGGCCAGACCGGATCAGGCAAAACCTTCACAATGACTGGCGACACAAAGGTAAGCCTGGTCCAGTCCACGTTGAAACCGAAGGATGCGAAAGAAAGTCACATTCGAGTGCCGATGGTGGTACACATCATTTACCTCTTCTGTAATTATGGTGCACTTTCAGGCCTACGCGCATCGAGGAATTGTTCCGCGAGCTGTGGAGCGTATTTTTGCTGAGAAAGTTGCCAAGCCGGAAGCCGGAATTACAGTTCACGTGTCATACCTTGAGGTTTACAATGAGGTAAGTTCAAGATGGCATCTGCTGATAGATAGATAGATAGATAGATATTCTGACCGGTAACTGGTGGCATCAATCGATCTATGTTTTCGGGCATCTTCGCAAGACATTAAGGTCAGGTATATAAAACCATCTCATTTCGTTACAATCATTTCCTGGCATGATCTCAGAAATCTCACCTTCAGCTTCACCCTTGTCAGCAGAATGTCCTTGACTAGAGAGAAACTGTGTCAACATATGTAAAGGGCGTAGTGTTGTTCTCCATGCACGTTCGATATGCACCAGAAGAATAGGGGACGTATTTTGATACAACCCTCGAGGTTTTGAAGCAAACGATGGCCAGCATATGTCTGAACCTGGAAGAATATATATCTCTGGAAATGGTACGTTGCAGGGTATCTACGATCTCTTGCCTCAGAGGAGATTGGCTTCAGCTGTGAATTTAGTGGCTATGGAAGACAATGGACTGATTGAAATAAAGGGACTCAACAAAATGCATGTCAACACTGAAGAGGAAGCTATGAAGTATTTCTTTGAAGGAGAAAGACACAGATCTGTTGCTCCTCACGCCTTAAATCAGGTCTCATGGTCATACGATTGTCTATCTCTGTCACTGCCTAATGGAACCTAACGAAGGTGGCAGAAGTGTCGGGAAGAACATCACTGAACATCCTTCTCTTGGTTTCCACCTGTCAGCCTCTTCATATTCAATAGGTGAAGAAAGTGACAGTATCAACGGATGATCAAACTACTGAAAAAATTATGAAGCCAGTAATGAACTTGATTGGAATGCCTTGGCCTCGTCCTCACAACACGGAAGCATGCACTACTGCAACATAAGTGTGAATTCTCATTGTGGTGAGCATTTCTCGTACACGCTCTGCCAGGGAAAGGGTAGTTCTTCTTCCTGACCGACTGCTGTGTTTTCGAGTGTAGATGTCCAGCAGATCACACTGTGTCTTCACCATGTTCGTAGAACGACACTCGGGACTCAGAACACTGCAAGAAGTGACCAGTTCAAAGCTAAATCTTGTGGATTTAGCTGGATCCGAACGACTCAAACGTACCGAAGTTGGAGGGACGACGAAGAAAGAAGCGATGTTAATCAACAAGTCACTTTCTTTCTTAGAGCAGGTAGTCATGCCTTCTTTTTCATCTCACAAGACACCTGATACGAGGCCATGGATGTAAGGCTTTCACAAATAATTTGCTCTGTGAAAAGTACAATTGTTATAACAAACAATTGTACATATTTCTGGCGAATATTTGTACAATCTGGCGCTCGTTATGGTCATTCATCATGACTAGGGAGAGGAGCAAATGAATTTCTGGGTCGGGATGATTGTACAAGTCTTGACAAATGGAAAAGACAAGAGGATGATTAAGTGGCAGGTCCCCCATATCCTCTCGTCGACACCCCCAACTCAGGAGTGGTGGTAGTCCCTCCTTTTGAAAGTTCAGGAATTGAACGAAGTTCCAAACACCCGTGCTCAGTCTAGTTCGAGAGCATTGTTACTTATAGCCTGGCTCGTAGTCTGGCAGGCGGTATTTGCGCTAAGGCAAGGACTAGGACATGTGCCCTTCAGACAAAGTCGTCTGACGACTCTGCTGAAGGATGCTCTCGGTGGCAACTGCAAAACCGTGCTCATTGTGTGTGCTTGGGCCGAAGACTTCTTTCTTGATGAAACGGTATGTCCATCCTTCCTTTGGCGGCTGATGGTGGACTTTCATGATTCGAGATTTAACAATGATATAGTGCTCCCTTGTAAGCCCTGAAAGAATCGTCCAAAACACAGGATAGTTAATGAATCTCCAGTATACCAGGTATCAAACCGTGTCCGAACCGACATCGAGCTTATTTATATACGTATCTGGGGACTCGTGGCTTTGTTCGATTCCTTCTATACGAAGTTTGCTTTTGTACTCAGATAAGCGCATTACGATTTGCCCAGCGCGTCAAATATCTAAAGACAAGCGCTGTTATTAATAAAAAAGCCGACGCTGCGAACACTCAGAGGTAAAAGCCTGTGTCACTCTCTTACAAAACGAAAATGGAGAAATGTGAACATATTTGGGGGCAATTGCATCATCACAGAGCAGCCAGTTGTCCAGTTGCTGGTTCAATGAATTCGACCTAAAGAGCTCTCCTTGAGCAATTGCCAGTGTCGATTTCTGACTTCGCACTTAAAAGCTTGCATTCTTCACCATCCATGTACATCTCTTCTTGCGCTCAGCATCCATCAGCTGAAGCATCAGGACTACAAATTAAAAGATCTTATGCTCTGAACGTTGTAGTGAGAGTAACTTGCTCTCCAAGGCTTGCTAATCTCTGAGCAGTGCAGCCACTCTTGTCGCTTAATGTCAACAATATACGCCATCCGAGACCAAAATGAGGCCAAAGATTCACGCGTGATCATGTTGGTAATCGTCTGCAGGAGATATGTGAGAGAAATTTCCGAGTTGAAGCAAGAACTGGCCCTAAGAGATGCCCTCACCGGACGGCCGAGCATATCTTACGACGAGTTGACGTAAGTTAGCAAGTACTACCGAGAAGGGTCATCGACAACATCTCACACAGGAATGACAACGCTGACTGATGAAAGTTCTCATTTTGTGGCAAAGCCCGAACTTATTATTGAGCTGTGCCTCGAGAATCCATTACAGTCAGCGTCATAAATTTCGATTTTCTTACTGCAGGGAAGAAACTAGATCGGCTCTTAGAGAAAGGATACAGGCATTTCTGGCTGAGGAAGCAGGGATTGACAGTATACCCATTGAAAATTTCAAGCAGGTGAGGAAAAGCTTTAACGGCTCATCTAAGAAGTGGTGGTCAGCAAAGTCTTGATAAATCGACTTATTGCTGTCACGGGCATTCTACTGTAGTCTTGCAACCTTCGGCCAGCTGGTGTACGAATGTGATGTTGGTACACAAAGAATAACTTACCCTGAAAGAGCGATCCAACAAAAGCAGTCCGATCGACTCAGTTTGGACGATTGTCGGTTGTTTTTCTAAGCAAATGTTGTGACTCGCAGGTGAAAGAGTTGTTCTGCCTTTTCAAGGAGGCGCAAGTTTCTCTTCGCGGGGAGGTGAGACAAGTCCATCATCACATGTCTGTCATCCATCATCACATATCTCTGCGTTGGGAGTCTGCTCGCGCTATAATGTCTTTCAATCCGGTGTTGATATGCACCTTTCTTTCTTCCTTCCCTTCAGTTGGAGAAGCTTTTGAGGGATTATGGAGGTGGTCCGGATACATTCTTAAACCACTCGCAGCATGACGTGGACATTAACCCTGGATCTGAAGAAGCAGATGATGAAGAATGTGTCGGAGAGCTTGACAAGGAGGCATGCTTCTGACCCCACCCAAAAAGCATACACCACAGAATGTACGTAACAATGCAATCGAATTTCATGGTGTGCCCCATCGAATTCCACAATGCTCTCCAATGAGTCCTCCACTATGATTCTCTACTTGGTTCGGCATGACAGAAGCGTCCTGAAAGCAAAGCCATTGCAGGGATTCCATGTGGGACCTGTGGCGCCTGACAATGCGAGACCGGACTTACCGACCAGTCCGCACGCGATGCTTCGAGCTATTCGCAGTCCCGGACTCAAATATGGAGAAGACACATTGTTGGATTATAATAAGGCGCCACCTGCAGTTGCTCCGCCTCCGAACTTGTGGGAGTTGGATGAAGATACCAGGAATGAGGTACAGTATTTGAAGGCCTCCGGGAGGCAATTTCGCCACCCTTGCAGTCAGATTTATTATTTGGTCTGAACCCAAGATCAGCGATGTGACAGCAGCAGCCTCCTGATGGTCGATATATGACCCACATAGACCATCTCTGAGACTTCCTGCGTCTTTAATAGTACCCAACAGAGGATTTGTTTAAGCACTTCATAGACATGCATCCCTCCCGCCCTGTCGTGCCATGCCGTGCCTCTGGCTATCGAGATCGGCAAAAGTGGCCAAGACTGAGAGAATGTGATTCGCGTGGATTCGTCAGGCATTTTCGGAGTTCAAGCACACCACGGATGAGGGTCGGACTCAGGATCACGAACTGAGAACCAAGACAGCTGAGCTCAGGTGTGATGTTCTCATGACCTTCGAGAGATTTACATGACAACTTGACAAGACTGTCGATGTTTTGCCTCTTTCATGGGCCAGATCTGAAACAACCTACCTCGTCAAATTGGCTGACACAAATACTGCAGTCCATACGAACTTCCAGCTCGAGTCAGACGATTTACCCCTTCTGCTCAGGATGCGCCTGTCGCTACGGTTGTGAGAGCTTGACATTTTGCTCCAGAAGTCTATGAGGACATCGAGGTCCATTCCATTACTTAGAACGTCACAGATCTCTTTTGGTGAAGTTGTGTCTTTAATGGGCAGCATTAATTTTGCAGACTGAGGAAGCAAACTGCACGCGAGTTGTGCACGACGGTCAATGACGCAAAGCTTGAAATTGCTAACATCAAGGTACGTGTTGCATCATCATCATCGTTATGTTCTTCTTCGTCTTCTTCTTCTTACAATATGTCCTCACGATTTTCTCCAGTTTATGTTGTTGGAATAAATGCACTATTTGGAAGTGGGACGGCTGAGTCAACCAACTGTCCGTCCAGTCATTACCGTCATCCATCAAACCGATCTGTTTCCGGGGAAGTGGGGAGCGAGTAATATCGCAATATCCAAAAGGGAAACAAGAGATCAGAATCGATGGGCTTGAAAACGTAGCATCCACCACCAGCACCGTTCTTCAACTAACAGTGACAGCTTCTTGCAACGAGAGAGTGACATCTAGCAAACGAACATCTACTGCAGAAAGTGTTGGACGAACAATCGAAACAATCGGCTCGCGTGGAGTTTAACAACCAAGGGTTCGACGAGCAGAAGTACCACCTCATGCAAAGGTCAGCATGCGTCTGAGACCTCAACTCTCCCACCCTCTCTTGGACACTTCTGGAATCGAATCGAAATCAAGGACCTGCATTCGGCCCTATGCCAAATTCGGTCTCAAAAGATCGACACAAGGAGATACATACGCAAACTTCCAATCAAGGGAAGAAGAGCGAACGCCAAGAATTCAGCTCATCTCAGCCCTATCAAACGAGCCGACATATCCTTGCGCACCGGTGTGGTTGGTTTAATCCAGGGGATCGAGGGTGACTACATTTGGAGCGAATTGCAGGATGGGATGGAGGGAGTGAGTGTAGTAGAGTGCGGTCCCACCGTCCGCCACACCCAACGAAGGACAGAGAGAGAGAGTAGGCCAGTCTAAAGAAATGTGGAAACCAGAAAGAGGCTACGTGAGCTAGTGCGTACGGAATGGAAAGAGCAGAGGAGCAAATCCGAAGGAAAAGTTGGGGCTCACAAGCCAACCGTGCTATGCACAAGCCCACATAGCCAGCCGCTCGAGGTCCCTGCACCGCGTCTGCAGTAGTTGACCAAAAGGCTTTCATCTGTGAAAAGGTGAAGGGGGTGTCTTTTGTAACGTCAACGAGGGTCCGCCCTGCAGCGACGTCTGCTGGCCAATGGACTGCAAGATGAGCCTTCATGAGGCCTCCCAGTCTGAGGTGAACGATTGACTGACTGGTGGGCCGATTGTTGTTCGGAGCGTGGTTTGTTCACGCCCAGCACATTCCTCCGCTGCAGTAATCAGCCATCTGACCAACCGCGCGTCTCTTGTAGCCATGGCGAAGCCTTTTGCTCTCGTTGCGTCTTTCCAATTCGCTGGCTGTAGATCGCACATACCGCACACTTTTTCCAGCATCCGCTCGAATTTTGGAGAGCATGTGACGTCTGACCTCGAAACGACTTTCGACGTACCGAACAAACTCCGTACTTCTTGTCCATGAAAGCTCATATTCTTATTATGAGCGACATGCGGTACACAACAGAATTGTGCCTCGCCGGTGACTCTGTACTCACCTTTGATGATCTACACACGTATGATGTCCCAACATCGCTGCCAGCTTAAAATTTCCGAGAGCGAAAGTTGAAAAAAGGTTATGCTTGTCCATACATGGCGCCTGCTTCAGGATTGGAACATAACTTGGCCTCGACTGTGCACGAACATTCAGAACACCGAGACTTTGTTCGTTACTTGTTAGTGCTGCACCAAGAGTCAGCTCTGTAGTTCTAAACTTCTTCCCCGATCGATTTTTTTCCCGCTCGCTTCACACACTTTCTTCGATGTTAGAAGACTGCTGTGTGCTGGACTCAGGGATTTTCTGTCTCCTCTATGTGGAGGGAGTAGGTGATTGATACCAGAACATGTACACTCCCGCGGTGAGCTTGCGTCTATTCCACAATTTGAAGCACGCATCTTTGTGCTTCGATCAAGAATTCATCGTATGTGACTGGAGGAAGCTTGGAAAAAGGCAAAAGGCCTGAATCCCTCGACGATAAATCGAGCACTATTCTGATCAAGGGAGAGTTCGAAAAGCGTCTTGTAGCGTCGTCCCTCGTATCAGTCGAGGCTTGCAACCAACAAATGATCACTGATGCTTTTCGAGGACGGGACGATGGGATGGGATGGCTGCAGGTTCAGGGAGGCGAGGTCGGCGTATCAAAGAGGTGCGCAGGAGTTCAAGGAAGTGAAGACCGACCTCGAATTGTTGCAGCAGGAGGTGCGACAATGTCGAGCTCAAATCTGTCATATTCTAAAACAGGATGATCCATTTTGGGCAAATCTATTTCGAGTCGTGCCCCGGGAGGAGCCCTGAGAGCTCGACAAGCCTACTTTAACGTAGTAGCGATGTACCACGTTCCGGCCACAATGCCACTCACTCGGTCGATGTTGTCCCAAAGTCAAACAGAATCTCTGGGGCCACACACAGTCCCGCCCTCCCTTCTCCCTGTCGTAATCTGGATGATGTGCTTCCCCCTTGGGCTCAACTGAGCCGCGTAATCTTCACCACATGCACGCACGCACGCAGTAGATCTGGCCTGGCCCTAAACCCCGGAGCTCGAAGCATCTTCTAACCACGTCACGGTTCTCAGGTCAGAGACTGCAAGCAGAAGCTGCTGGAGTCGTTTTTCCGATGGTTTGAGGTGAAGACGCAGTACAAAGGCGACTTGCAGCGCCTCATGACCCCGCTCTCCCCAGCTCGGATCGCCAGCCCGATCGGCGGCCCTAAACCCTAGTGACAAGCTTTCGTCCTCCGGGAAAATCCCGGTAAGAAGACTTTCTTGATTGTCCATCTCTTGATTAGCTCGTACGCTATCATTGCAGGCAAGGTTTGTCAATCTCACATTCACCTGCTTGCTTGCCTTCTGCCTTTCTATTAGCCGAACCGGCATTCGCCATCGCAGTCTCAGTAGCAGATTGCGAAAGGATTGGCCTCGAGGAGCCGAGGAATGCTTCGAACACCACCGAGTCAGGGAAGGGGCCGAAGGTGGATACCCTAATTCAGCAGAGAATTGTAATTCTGGAAGAACGTTCTCGTGGTCGTCCGTGGCTCGTCTTTCTGAATCCGGATCCGGCATGTACAAGGGGTCGAGCTCGGATCGATGAATGTTTGGAATCGGTGGCGGGGATTTTTGTCCGTCTCGAGGCGGGAAAAGCCTACGTCTGTACAATAGCCTCATGGTAGCCTCATGGCCTCGCGACCCGGTCTTGAAAAGATGCTCGCAAGGTCCACATATTCCGTCTGAAATCACGCTCGGACGCTGGTCTTTTATTATTTAGAATCTAGGTTCCACTTTATGACCTCATCCCAGCGTCCAAAGCACACTCCCGACTCCTCCCCGCACAAAAGTGATGATTTCGGACCTTGTGCGTCTAATTATGCGCGACGATGCAACTTACGCAACATAGCACATTAACTCCACGGATGATGACAGGCGGTGACTTACGAGAGTCACCAAAGCTATTGTTAGGAACTTGGATCGGGTTGCATGTTATGTTATCTTCTTCTTCATCATCATCAGCATCAGCATGCTTCCTTAGTGATGACGATCGCCCGATCGCTCTACATGATCTCCAATCGCGGTCCCTCTGTCCCGAATGTCGAAGAAGGCCACATGTCGCTGCAGCTCGCCCTGCGACTACTACACGAACATGGTTCGTCAAAGAAACTCCCGTACTCGAAATTCGCATCCTTCGCCTGTAGGACATTGGAGTTTTGATACGTGAATTGAATAGAAATAATAAATCAAAGGTCCGCAGGCGTCGAAGGGATAGGCTCCAAACATTGAGGAGGCAAGAATTTGGCTGCCCGAGAAGCTCGACGAGCAAGCAGGTCCAATACTTCTTAAAAAATTCGTAGTTTCTCTCAGCAAGAATGAAATTGGCTAGGCCATTCGACGCAGTGGGTGTCAAGGATGACGAAGCTCTCCCTCTCCCTCCCTCTCCCTCTCGGAGATTGGGAGTCGAGAGGTGCCACCATGTGCCGTGACGTCTCTCGGCTTCATTGGGCGAGCGAGGGGAGCGCACAGTGCAGCGCATCGCCTTCCACCATGCATCGAAACCGACTCCTTGTGCCGTCTGTGTGAGTCCACCGTGAATCTTGCAACCAGATGGGGATCTCGCAGCTCCCGTCGAACCAGCCTTTCTCAGTGGCGCTGCGTTCTGCGATGCGCGTCGTCGAGCCTTGAATCCGTCCAATGATTCCGATACTCACAGCCTTCTGGGGTTCGGTGCCAGCATCCTCCTCCATCCGCTCCCGATAAGCGCCTCCTTTCATTCGCTCATCCGCCCACAGATGCTCATTGTCGAGCTAAAACCTCAATTCCCACTTCCCTTTCTCCGAGAGCGTGTAGATATTTCATCATTGCTCCCTTTCGTACCGCAAACTCACTCTTGCTCGAAGAGCTTTTGTCATTATCCTTGTCCATTTAATATCTGAGAGCCAATCGAACCAAGTCATTCTTTCGTGATAGGGAGATATTCCAATCTCTCTCTTTCAAGAACATCTTACTTAGCACATGGTTGGATTTCTGGATGGAACACTCATTTACGAAATTCGAGATTACAACTTTGACCACATCACGAGTGCCTTAATTTGCAGAGCAAGACTCTGAATGTGTGTTGATCGTTGAAGCTACCTGCATGGGGTCTCGCCATCCTTTTTACCATATCACTCGGCCCCCTTTCTGGTCTTACACCAAGGCTCGGGTGGAAGTCTATGCTCGATTCCAAGGTACATTTTCATACCTCGTTGTTGGTTCTCTACCTTCTGCCTCCTGGCTTATAAGGAATGTTAAATGTTGAGTCTCGGTGTTAATTGTGATCTACATGACCACCTCTATCAACAACTCTATATACCCTAACATCATTCTCAATGCAAAGTCGAGTCCTCCATCCATACACATTGAAGATGTCCAAAAGTTCAATTAATTTGGAGATGGCGGCAAAGCTTGAGGACTTTTCCAAATTTTTGAGTCATCAGCCAATATCTTTTACTTGAGCCTTGCTAGCAGAAAGGTTCCTTGAAGCACAATTCTGCCATATTGAGCTGCAACAGGACGATGCATATGCTCAAAAAGATGTGAACGCACTATTATCGTCTCTTGCAAAGTTTTTCTTTCTTCATCACCGTGTTTATTAATATACGAGACGTTCATGACTTCACATTCCAACAAATTGGGCTCGACGACGGCTCAACTCGATTTGACACCCAATTAACCCAAACTTCTTTGGACCCCATAAGTGTCCAAAGAAGTTTAGACACTGACTGTAGTAGTGATCCTCATTTATACAGAATTTTGGCTTGCAGTACAAGAAAGCCTCCAATCACACCTTTAGTCGATGCACAAGTAAAAATAGAACTATCTTTCACACTCCAATCCACCTTTATGTACTCATCTAGTTTGTAAGTATTGTGCTTTTTGGCAAATGAATTAGCTTCGATCATGGTTAGGAAAAGCTATGGTTACTCTATATAGCTTATTACCATGAGGACTAGACGCAAGAGTTATTTGAGGGAATAGGTGAGATTGATATCTACCACATACTACGTTTTTTATATTGTAACATGTCCTTCTCATTCGGCTACATGCCTTCTCATCTGGCTCATGGGTCCCTTTGACCGTGGCTTTGTTTTTTCGAGATTTTTTTTCATCTTTCTTTTATTTATATTTCATTTATCTTTTTCTTAGATGTTGAAAGAGATTTACTACATGCAAGTAAGTAAATATTGTAAAATGTGATTGATGTAGAAGTACACACAGTCAAGAATTACCCTCTGGTACAACATTTGTAGTTGTAAATTTTGGCTTTTTTTCGCCCCACATTTAGTAAACACTACAGTGGTATACACTAATTTGAAATAGAACCGCATATAATTTCATTATTGGACCCATTCCATCATATTAGGGTAGAGGATTAAATAAAGTAAATGTCGTTTTCTACTCCAAATTAAAAACGACAAGCGGTTAAGACAAATCTGCTTAAAATCTACTCAAGAGCAAGATATCACTTCTGAAAGATACAACTTTTAAAAGTTTTTAATAAATAAAATATTGACTCAATTTTTTGGATTGACTAACGTATTTCCACGTCTTAACACGATTTGATCTGAAGAAGAGGGATTCTTTGAACAAAAAGAACTATTTATAAAATAAAATTGAAAAAAAAGAACGATTTGGAGAAAACGCTCAAAATTTAATCAATTGTTATAAATCGATTTCACTAGAAACGAATCAATCCTCTATTCCTCCTTGTTGGTCTCGTTTGGGCACTACCTCGTTGATTGATGACGGTTCCAAGCTGACCAGTGATCCGTGAGAGGAGAGGTCTTGGTTCCTTTTCTGGTTCGCTTGAGGAAAATCAAATAATTTTTCTCCTTAAAAAGTTGAACATCAAATGTTGCGATTGTGAACAATACCCATCGAGGATATGGAGCCGCATGGTACAAATGACAGAACAGAAAAGAAGGAATACCCACGAGACAAGTCGTACAACGAACAAAACAAACGGGGAACATGGTGCTAGGCCCAGCTTGACGAACGTTGTATTATGGCCACGTAGTACGCACTGCAAAGCCGTGATGACGGACAGATGACGTGGATAACCGACGGCGGATTGATCCTTCCACTGGGGGACGTACATGAGACACGGATGGCGTCCCCACATCATTGAATGTCACTTGGATCGGACGACATCATCTCGAGCGAGTCTCATCACTCTCGTGGAATGCTGTGAAACTCTGAATCACAACAATGGAATGGAATGCACCATTCTGTATGATCATGTCGCCTAGGCCCTAGAGAGAGCACGTACGTACGGCAATTTTTGTGGTTCGGATTCGGGACGTGCGTTGCTTGCATTGCTGCAGGCAGCAGCCAGAGGAATAAAGCATGAGGCCGAGGGGCACCATTCTACAGGACTGCAGAGTTCTGAGGGGCGCCCTGCCGATGCTTAGTCATGAACAGACGTCGAAAGACCTTGGACAGCACTCTGGAAGTAGACCGAGTGTGGGGGCTTTCGCAGGCAGGCAGCCCTACCCACCATGGCAGTACAGGGACGGTACAAGTTGCAACATGTGTTTCACGTCCGGGGGCCCTAAGCTTCATCAGCTTCAGCATTCACTAAAGCACCCCGCAAATACAAACTCGATTGTAGCAACTGTCGCATCGAGGATCTGCACAGAGGAAAAAACAACGAGGGCCCACAGCATCCCCGAAGTTCATTCAGTCCTCTACCCCGTTTGCAAATCTCTCACTTTCTCTCTCCCTCTCCCTCTCCTCTGTGTTTCTGCATCGAAACAGTTCTGTAGCTATTGTGCCCTGCATAGTCCCGGCACTGTGTGACCAAAATTGCAGCTCCAGGCTTCATCGCCATGGAAATGGAAAAAAATATATCGCTTCGACTCGAGCTACAGATGCTTAACTACAACCTCCTTCCAGCTATTTCGAAACCTCCAATGATTTGTGCGATGCGCACAGTGGTCCCGTGTGGATCATACCCTGTCATGTGAGGCTGGTAAGACTCTGCAGACATGGACGCCAAATGTGCGGTAACTGCGGTTTCTCCTGCAGGCAAAACAGTGAGAGTAACACGAACGTTAACCATGTCCCACTGATCCTAATCAAACTTCAAAATTAGCGACGGGCGCTGTGCATGTTCTGTTTTCGGGAAGAGAGGGAACAGGAGCTTGCTTGTGAAGCATCGAGTCCAAAGGATTGAAGAATCTCGATGATGTGTGCGACTGACTGTGTCTGCCTATATTTACATGCGTTAACCAGTAACCATGATAAGCAATAGCGGATGACGTGGCTAGCGCTCCGATCAAGTGGAGCGGTGTGACTCCACGGCCCATCCAAGAGCTCATTGACCTTCGAACACAACTCCCCCTGCCCTGCCCTCCCCTGCTACAATGTTCGTGTTCCAAACTTTGCCGACAATTCGATTTGACTTGACTTGTGGGGCATGTCAATTGTTCTGAATTTCGCATGATCCAATTTGGTTGATTGCTGTTGAATTCACTGTGGCTTCATATCCCTCCTACTGGTGTCGTTCTCAATCAGCTTTACCTGTTACGACCTTCATCAAGCTCATGCATTCGCCATCATCCTCTTTTGACCGCTGCGCTACAGTGCGGTTGTTTACGTCCCGAGACAACTACAGAGCATGAGCTTGTACGTATTCGAATTCTGGGTGTTTTTCATGTTTCTCAATTTAAATAGTTTATGGAATCTCGAGCTGCTGAAAGCTCATCTGTCGGATTCTGGCCAGTTTATCTTCAACCCCGAGGTTTATCTGTAGCTGCGAATATGTTGGTTTAGGCTGTACATTATCTGGCACAATCATTCTTTCTTCCGCTCTTGAGTTTTGCTCACGACCTTCAAACTAACTTGTAAATTTCATTTTATTCCATTTTTTTATTTTATAATTCATCATTCCGGTAGTTGTGCCTTCACGGCAGAATGACTTAGCAACTGCCGGGTTATGCCTGGGGAAGAGGAGCTGCACATTTAAAATGGCTTTCATATAGTGTGCAGACAAATGTATTCCAAACCAAATGTCTGTCGCAACTTCTTTTCATCCGTCATGCCTTATCCAAATAATGCATGAATCCAAAAAATAAATCAGGCGAAGGCAGTTTCAATACACATCAAGTTGGACCAACAAAAGGAGGTGGATAAAATTTTTCTATATAATATTCTTAGGAGTTTGCATATATTTACTTCTCTACTAACTGTAATTGTGTACAGTTTCCTCATGCATTCCACCCAGTAATAATGTGAGGAAAGTCATCTAAATTAAGCAGAAATAAATCGAGATCCTTTCTGCTAAACAATCGAGATCTTCTGAAAAAAGTTATACGTCTTGACA